CTTTCAATAGAAATAATGCATTTTAGATTTATTTGATATATCGTCTGTGTTTAAGTACATTTTGATGGAATCATTCAATAATTTACATAGTAACACGACTTGCTTAATAATTTTTCAGCAAAGCAACTAAGAGTGTCTTTGAAGTATCTCATTTTGTCTCTTATTTTCTCATCCCAACTTGTGAGAGAGGTCATTCGCAGGTTTTAGCCTTATTCAAAAAATGAATGTATAGTATCAGTTATCAATAATGAAGACTTCAATGAAATTTTACAGGATTAATCGGTAGCTGAATATATCACAGTTTTCCGATTGAATGATTTTTGGCGGAGTTAAAGCCTTTGAATAAAATGGTGTTTTTTGTGCGTTGCCAGCGACGCAGGAGCGTGTCTGGACCACTGCTCAGAATCTACTGGTGCAATTTCATCTAAACATTACAAGAATGATCAATACTAAGTCTAATATTTCATATTGTCGGTATTTTCCGTTTCGATTATTTTTGTTAGAGTTATGGCCCTTTAATGATTTTATCTTTAAAAATTGTCCGATATACTTCTCGTATAACACTAATGTAATTTAAAGTTAAGTTTATTATGCTGCTGACCGTACCAAGGCGGCGCTCCTCTGTGTTCCTCAGATGTATGTCTATGTTGTTTCATGCTGACTTGGTGACACTTTTGCTTGTGTCTCTTGTTGTTTTCTCGTCTACGGTAAGTATCTTCCACATTACCCCTAGTTTTTATTTCTTTCCTTATTGATCTTGTTTATCATATTTTACAATATTGATCGGTATCTCAAGTGCTTTTGCATATTGCAAGGATTTACCGCTTAATTCATCTTGGCTGAGCTATAACCTTTGAATAAAAAAGGTTTGCCCTGTTAATGATTTTGTGCCTTCTGCCACACCGTAGCTGCAACATGCAACTGGCTATCATGAGTCGACATATGTGATCACTGATCGTTTTTGAATGTATTTAAGAGTAAGAGTGCGTAAGAGCGCCTTTTATTTCAATAAATTACTTCAAAACTTCTATTTAAAAAAGATGATAAGAAAAAGGAGTAATATCTGTAGAATATTTTTACATAATATTCTACATTGGGTGTTTATTAATCAATTTTCCTGTTTTGCTACTTATTTGTAATAATAAGTAAATATATTATTAGCACTTTGATGTTGATAAAAACTGTAGAAATGAACAAATTAATTGATATTTATTATAATTCTATTGTAAAATAATTAGGTAATGAAATGTAAAACTGTAAAATGCAAATTAGACAGAATTAAGTGGTTTGTTTGAAAAATTATACCAATTACATGTAGTAATATATTGTGATCTTCAATTACTGCTATTGCCGTTAAAGGTAATGATTTTTAGAAAACGTTAAAATCTTTTGGTTTATAACTGGCCTTAAATTTGTCAATTTTATCAATTGATATCAATTATATCTCATCATCTCTCTTAAACTGAGATTTACAATAGTATATAAGATGTATGTAAATAGTATGTTTTATTCTAAAAAAACAACTTACAAATATTCGATATTATTATATGATCTTAATATAGCTGCAATCTCATTGGTCCAAATATTAGCCAACAGAACTTTTTATAAAATCATATTCACTGAGTGTAGTATCATATTAACTGGCTGAATTGGATTTTCCCAATCTAAAAATAGATTGAACGCATATTCAATGACCATACACCGTAGACTTTTAATTACACGTGTTATTTAAAAAATAATAGTTGCTTTTTGTTCTTTATGGCACATTTCTCGATTAAAATATCATTACTTTACTTTTTAACTTAAAGGCTACACCGCAATGGTGAGTATAAACTTGAATTTTTTTGTATGCGCAGCGTTCGCGTAGTTGTTGCACGCCTAGCACCTGCGTCTTTTTTCCCGCGCTTCAACGAGGCAAAATTTGTACATGTATATAAAGTTGTACTTTTTTTTATTTCTTAGCCTATTCATATAATTAAACAATTATTGGCTAGTGAGCCATTGAATATGATGTGATATTCAACGGCAGAAAGTCATATTGACCTCGGCTGTCGCCTCGGTCAATATTTCATCTGCCGGTGAATATCACATCATATTCAATGGCTCACAAGTCAATAATTGTATATTATTGCAGTGCTTGAATTAATTTGAAGCAATCATAGTTTTTGACATGACAAAATCAAAATTACATTGAGAATTTTTTCTGAAGAAGACTTAACGTCAAAGGCTAAAGAAAAGCGTTTGTTTACATTGAACTGACAATTTATTTGAGATTTACAGATGGCACTGACCTAGAGCTACAATACAGTATGGCCAACTATGCCCTGGTTTCGAGTTTCAATTATATGTTATATTATTGTTATACTCAAACATAGCCGTTTACCTGTTTTGTTTTTCTTCGCTCGAACCTCCACCCCCCGTCTAGTAATTTTTTGAGGCCTTTGCTGATTGATACCTTTCTTAATTCAAATAAGTATTGAGATGATAACTTCTAAACGGTTAAAAAACAGGTAGTGTAAACTTAATATTAATATATTGTTAAACGTATTGTCTAACTTAAACTTAATATATTGTTATTCAATATATATACCATGCCGATTTGTTAAATTTGATCTTAGAGTTTGTATAGTTTTGTATAGATAACGCTGGTTTAAAATCACAATAAGCTTCGTATATACAACTTTAAAGAATGTCAGGCGTATTAAATTTCAAGGTATTTACTACAATAACTGGATAGATACGCATATTGTCAGGTAATTTATGTATTAATAAAACTGTTTTTCTTCATGTAACACATTATAGATTTAAATGAATTTATGTAAATGTTAAGGTACGTGATTTTAACGGTTATTTAGTAATATGATTTTAATTATTTTCATCTATAAAACAACTTACGAATAGATGTACAAGAAGAAAAGAACTAAATTAACTAAATTCAATTTAGTGCATATACGATATATAGTGATTATATTTTCATGTAATATTGTAACAAAAAATGGCATATATATGAATATAATGTATATATTGAGCGATTTCATATCTTAACATTACAATAAACGTCCTTTTCGGACACATTTTATTAACTCATAAAATAGTTGTATTTCAAAATTCATAAATCATTTCACTGTGCAAATATTGTTTAAAAGAGCAATAAAATCATAATATTTTATTCATAAACTCACGTGTATATCTCACGCAATGACATTGTAATATTTCATAATAAGATTCACATATTATCAACAAACAATATCTAAAGATGTAGGTAAGTGTTTCTACCTTATATTTAGTGTGACATTTAAGTACCTTTCTGTCAATATAAATAACGTGAAGTGTCTTTACAATGTGGATAGCTATAAAATACATACATATACATTTGTATACATGCGAAGTATAGTAGATACCAAATCTTTATTTATCATTGAAAATAGTATTTAAAGTAAACACACGTTCGATCAATTGTTTTACTAGACATTTTTGTATGTAAAGCACCAAACGAAAACTTTTATGTTTTGTTTTACATATAAAACTTAAAAGACTGGTGGTGTTTGCGATCAGTCCAAGAACGGCACATCTGTCCCCATGGCTATGTTCAAAAGAAATCTAATACGACTAAAATAAAGAAAAAAACAAATGATAAAAGATTGACAAGTATAAACGAGTTCCAATAATATAAGACACTTTTACCATCAACAGCTTTAGCAGTTAAATCTAACTTGCCAGAGTTTCTTAATTGAAATATCATTTTTGTCCATATTTGTAGTTTTAGGTTTTCTTTAAATACAACAACAATCAGGAAACATTCAGAACCAAACAAATTATTGTAAATGTAGAATATCCATTAGGCAGTGTTCGTTATTCTTCTATATACGAAATGAAATGTAAATAAAACAACAGCTAAAACACAAACAAATGATCGTTAAAGGATGAATAATCTAGGTATTTGTCATTATTACTTTGTCGTACAAGTCATTTCTGTTATTGAGAACTTCATAAGAAAGCATATTAATATGATTCAATTTTTTGTTTCAGTTGATCTGGTAGCAAATATAATTAAAGCTATTAAAATATTTTATTAAGTGAATTTATTAGAATAAGCAAATCAAGATTGATAAGCAGTACTCCTACAGACGATTTCGGAAGTTTTCATATATGTCTATATATGGTGGCTAATTTCTGCAATACATATACAAACTGTTAAAAAAATGTTTTAAAACTTAGCAGGTTGTTAGAATATGATAAAATATGACAAAAGAAACTTTTGAAGCGAAGGCTTAAGACCATATTTTCTTATTTTAATATATAGATTTCTTTTGTTTGAGTCAATGTGCAAAATTTCGGTAAAGTATAAAAAGTTGATTGGCTTTTCCCCCTTCTTTTCTAAACACATGAGTTTTTTTAAAATGGCATATTTCTAAAGAATTTTAAGTTTCTTCATTCAAGTGAATATTGATATAAGAAATAAGATAAGGACTTACATGTAATTATGTATTGTGATCAACAATAAGAAGAAAACATAATCCAGAGGTAAAAACAAGATTTTAAAGGATGCGTATAAGTTACCTGCCCACAAAATAACCTCTTATAAGTGAAACATTCTGGTTCAAGCGCAGATAACTCAGAAGTGAGAACGGTGACCCCTTAATTTGTTTGGCTTAGAATGTTTCTATCGTAATATTCTAACAATATGCCAAATTTAAAGAAATTCTAGTGAACAGTTTTAATTTTGCCTACATGTCTATATGAAATTTCCTGAAAACGTCCTTAAAAAGAAAATAATAAAAAAACGTAGATTAATGATTTATGATAATTGATAAATTTGATCATTACTCATTAGCCATATATAAAACAATAGAAGAAAGAAATAAACTGACTCTACTTTTCAGAGTAATATTAGATTATGCTCATCACTTTAAAAGCACCTTTAGAACTTTCTGGGTTCGGATATGTTTTGCAACATCCATGGAGTTTTCAATTTGGAATTTACCAAATAAGTAAATATAAGTTGTTATCTCATATCACTGCGAAAAATATACTGATATACGGGAATATACGGTCCCGTATTTTTGACAAATACGGGCGTGTACGGGATGTATTTGTCGAATATACGGACTAAGTAAACGATTCCGTATAGGGAACACCGGGTATACGGGAAGTCCGTATATGCATCAGGCATATACGGAATTCCGTATTTGCCCCATATACATGTACGTATATTTGTTCGTACTTTTGAAGTATACGGAGAATAAAATCCAGTATACGGAATTTATCAAGGTTGTTATCCCTAGTATACTATAAATATACCAGGGATATACGGGACCGTATTTTCTACCTATTCAGAGGATATACGGACTCGTATTTTCTACGTACACAATGGATATACGGAACCGTATATTCTTCATATACAGAGGATATACGGAATCGTATTTTCCACATATACAGATGAGATACGGAATCGTATTTTCTGCATATACAGGAGATATACGGAATCGTATTTTCTACATATACAGGGAACATACGGAATCGTATTTTCTACATATACAGAAGATATACGGATTCGTATTTTCTACATATACAGGGAATATACAGAATCGCATTTTCAATATATACAGGGGATATACGGAATTGCATATATTGACAATTTAATTGCCACCATAGGTATGGTTTTATGTTTGTAGTATGGCGACACTTGATAATGAGAGATATTTGAGGCATATATGGCTTATTGGCGAGGGAGGCTTGTTTCTGTTGAGACGAATTGTAATGAGAGAAGCAGCGAATAACCTTCACACCCTCGAAGGTCTATTATTGAATCGTAGAGCAGTATTTAATAATGTTTTGCAAGAACAAAGGCAATGTGTTTTTCCATCTCCAAATACTGTTAATGCGGATGTTAACACTTGGGATATATCGCTTCTATTAATGGTGTTGAAAAAATTATTTTGGAACAATCTTTCGCCAACTGATCAATCTGGCATTGCTACCGTAAAATGTCATCGAAATCATATTCAAGGACACCCACTTGAGATATCTATGAATGGATCTGATTATGATACTAGTAGACAGCTGCTAGAACAATCTTTTCGAAATCTTGCAACTGGTGTTAACGCAACGGCTGAAATAGATGATATTATAAGAAAAACATCATCGGAAAATATTGATGTGAAATTAGCTTTCCAAACTATTAAAGAGATTCATGAATTCAGGAATAGTATGGTATGTGCCCTACAGGAAAGGTTTGAGCAGGTCCATTCAGAAATGTCTCGGATTAATGATTCCATCGAAGATATTAAAGGTAAACTTATTTATTATTTGATATCCGCCACAACAGAATAATCGTTTTATATATGTTATATAATAATGAAACAGTTTATCTTCACAGCTTACACGCATTTAATAAAATTGTATTTTCAAATACATGCTTTTATCACTTTTATTATACAAGATTTTCGAATGATATGTATCAAGGTAATCAGACATTCTACTTACTTTAAATATTCCTTATATTTTTCAGGGAATGTTGAAAATATCAGAACGGTTCAGATAAATCAGCACGAGGAATTGAGAAAATCGCTGCATGAAACAGGGCAGCAATCAAAACAAGATTTGACAGAAATTAAAGGTGAGGCAAAACTTAATTTTGTATATGCTTGTATGAACATACACACCAAAATTAAATTGTGGTTAAAAACTGTTATTGTTACAAAAGAATATATAAAACCACATTTAAATCAAATTCGTCATGTTTAAAATATATGTAGTTGTTTCTTAACATTTTAAAATTTTAAATTCGCTTTAAAAGGGTTAAAAAATATATGAATGTCTTCTGTTTTTGAACAAATTTTACACACAAAAAAAGTTTCCTTTCTAGTCATTAACAAGCGCTTTATTAGAATATAATCCCCCACTATCCAACATGACATGGCATGGAAACATTTAAGGTAGTTAATATACGATGATCTGCTATATAAATATACGTACTATTGAATAATTTTTCTCAAATTTTGTCAACAACATACATATAGAATTTGTACGTGGTTGGTTATTATGGCTGATACCAAATGATATCAACGTAATTATTTTTGGTATAACACACCTTACTTTACATACAGGAAATAAGATTTTTTCCTAATGAATGCTGTATACCAGGATATTTAAAGTTCTTTAATGAGTAAACTATTTTTAGGGTATTAAATGGAAGGTTATTATAGTGTACTTTTAGATTATTTTAACATGGTAATACCTATATTAAGCAGCGTATAATGCGTTCTATTTTTACTGAGGTAATCGTAGTACAATTATGTATATTGTGGTTTCGTCTTCTTTGTTTATTTAGGAAAATCAATACTTTGTTTAAATCGCTGTTTTTATATAAGACAAAACACAAGCAAGAATGCCATTATAGATGACGAGACTATAAAGGCTGAATAAAACAAGGGTCGATTGATACAGATATCTATTGTGCAGTAACCTTTTACAATTTTAGAGAGATAATTGGATATAAGCCATACAAACAAAGCACAATATTTTTATGTATATATATGTACTTATCGGAACTCTTTCACACATGAATGATACAATAAACGACATGAAAGATCATTCATCATTTGCTTTTCTACCGACATACTCTGTTTAATTTTTGTACACAACTTTTGCTTCTTATATTACGCAATGTAAAAATACATTGATAATGTTGTATAGCATTAATTATTCTTTATATGTTTCAGCAAATGTTGAAAACATTAAAACGGTCCAGACAGATCATCATCAAGAATTGACAAAATCTCTACAAACATCAGGACTGCAATCAAAACAGGATTTGGAAAATATTAAAGGTGACAAAAAGTGTTGGTTTTTTTTACATTTTTTTTATATGATGAATTGTAATTTACGTTCTGGAAATACATCATTTCAAAATGTTCCTTATATGACGAGCTGGGTAATTCTTTATACGATGAAGGCAGTTTTGACATGAAATACACTTTCTGTGGAATTTGTCAAACGATTATAAAGCAAAGATTCGTATAAAATAAAATCAACAAAGTTCCCGTCACCGGATTGAAATATTCTAGATATTTCTACGCAATGATGAGCCGCACATGCAAAACATGTTTGGTATTTTAAATAATAATTTGATAATAAAAAGTCCCTTTTTGACCCCACCCGAAGCTGTGCAAAGAAGATGACTTTTGACTTCCGGGAAATGCATGTTTTTTTAAAGATTATTTCACGAACCAGTATGGCAAGTATAACATTGACCAACAGGTGTTATATTTTCTATCCTTCAAGATCGTTCAGCACAACATGTAGTGTGTGCATGTTTATTGTGCTTTTAGTTCCTTCTATTTGTTCCTTTTGTCTATATTTCTAATTAAATATTGTTGAATCAGCCTTAGGATATGTTGCCTGCTTTTTAGTCAAATACCGGTTTATCCGGAAAGGACTTTACACTCCGCTAGTCTGTATGTCAGCCAGTTCGGTTGTCCGTCGGCAAAACTGAATCCCGTGATAACGTAAAAAGTACTGAAAATATTTTTATGAAACTTGAAACATGGGTAGATGCAAGCCTTGAGATTAATATGTGAATCTTGTTTTCTTCCTTTGTTGAATAATTCGATTGTTATGGCAACAAATAGCCTTTAATATAGCAAATATAACAACATGTGTTGTAACTCAAAAAGTATTGAAAATAATATAATTATGAAACTTGAAATATGGATAGCTGACAGTAAGGAGATTATGCTTATTATTTTTGCTATCATCAACCACATCATTTGTAACAAGGTTATATTTCTAACACCTATATTATTAGTTTTATCATCCGTGAACGTTTTCATGAAAATGTATCTACTTCTAACTTCAAGTATCTGTTCCTTATTATCACTCAAATCATGTGTGAGAAGATTCAGTGCTATAGATTGGCTACTTCTAAAATAATGACCACTTGCATTTGAATATTATTTTCTTGAAATTATTATTTTTTACCCAGCTTCTTCATTTATTGAAGGATTTACTTCAAATTCAAACTCATCATAATAATATGAGAAGATTTATAAATCTAGCGATCTATATTTCCCGACTTATCTCTCCCTTAAACGTTGAATAGTCCTTATTTAATCTTTAACTTTCTTAATTCTTCATGGATTTATTCAAATTTCAAATATTTGTTCATAATCAACACCTACAACATATGTTCATTTATAAATCTAGCGTTTTGTATTACAGTGTTCATAAGTGTAGCATCTTTATTTCAAGATTTATTTCCTTTTTAGTTTAAGTATTTTGCTTTTAGAAATGTTATATTCTTGTAACAACTTTATGTTTAAAGATGTATCCTCTGTATGTCAGTCCATCTGTTTGTCCGTTCCTATAAAAAACTATTTTATGAGATCACTTTTAACGAACTCGGAACGTTTCCAACAAATTAACTTAAAATAAAGAAATGTTGAAACATTAGTTATACATGTTCATCCTGAGAAAATTGTATCTTTTGATTAATATCTGTTGTGTTAACATAATATAACATAATAAGACAGGGTAACTGAGGGAAACTTAACACATAACTATGATACAGACAAACTAAGAACTCAAAATATTTAGGTTCATTCATGACTTCAACTTATGTATTGCTTTAGATTATTGCTTGTTAAATTTGTCTTTTTACGTCTTATCTGTGATATGCAACCTTCACAACCTATGCCCCCCCCCCCCCTATAAAATTCCATTTTGGTAATATCCGCCGATGGTTTTAACTTTTAGAGCACACACATTCTTTTACTTGAAGACCATACCCCGCTTTTATGGAATGGCACGAAAGTGTCTCATTAAAGGTTTAAATGTTGGATTCTGCTTAAGCCGGTGCTAGGGGCTTTGTCTGTAGTTCCTATCATAAATTTTGATATGAAAGTGTGACATTGACCTTTGAACTAAAACATAAGTTATGAGTGCGACACGTCCATGTCATGTCCAACACATTATTGCATAGTAAATTAAAAATCCATTCATGAATGGTTGTACTGTTGACCGGACATGAACATCTGTGTACTTTTATATAAAAAATACATTGTATTTCTTTAAGTTGAAAGTATAATCCTGCCCCTTGAGCCACAGAAATCGGTCTTGACTGTCACACATTGCCTTTATATGCCAGACATTCATTCAAAATCATTTCAACATATTTCCTCTCAAGTTCTGGCCCGGAAACAAAGTGTGGACAGACGGGCGGGTGGACGGACATACGAACGAAAATCAGACGATAGACTTTTCTAGGAAGGGTTAGGTTGTGGTGTGGTGGTTGCATAATAGAAAGACTGTATGTACATACAATTTCCTTATTCTAGCTATTACATAGCTATTCAATTAAGCAACCATGGTTTTAATTTTATTTTAGATACCGTAGCAAGTGTGCAACTAATGACAGCATCAACAAAGGGACAACTGGAAAAGTTTGAAATTACATACTTCAAATTTTACTTTGTAGCAGTTTTATATTTGGATAATGAATATCCTGTTTGTAATAATACCGGGAACAAGCATGTTTTTCCAATTGAAATAAAGTCGACTATTTATTTGTATGATGTCTATTTTGGTTAAAATTAAAGTTGACACTGCAAAGGATTGCGACATTAACTTTTATTTGGAGGAATATCTCAGAGCCGATCCTAGCATTTTTTTTTGTTAGCTTAATGGATTTCTGAAATAAAATAATTCAAAGTCCCTAGTTTGATTGAACCAACAGTGTTCAAGATCAAGTGATAAAAAGTAAGAACGCAAACAATTTAGCAAAAAAAGGCCATGTTTGTATTTTCAGTATTTGTAATTCATTAACAATTATATTTTAAAAATAAAGGTTATATTTTGCCAGGAACTGTGAAGGGAATACTTCAGCTTAAACAAATGTTCTTACAGAAAGAAAAGCATAGGACAACAGAAGGTAAATTAAAATACTAACCAATATAAATCTCTTTCTATCTCTGCCGGTACATACCAGAATATCTAGTTCGAGTGCAACTGTTTAGGGTGATAACGAGGCTGAGTTTCCGCTAGACAGTAATCCGAGAGCGAGATATTTCTGTCTGTGATGAAAGCCGGTGTTTGTTCTTTTTTCTTGCATATTACATATTTTTGTTTTTTCGAAACGAAATTATGAAAACTTCCTATATTCGTATTCGTTAAGCACTTTTGTTCTCATAGTAGTGTATGTATTTAAAACGTATTCATAACAAAAAAATGACGTCATTCTAAGAACGAAATCCATTCATAAAAGGCCCGCGGGAATAGCATTATTTAAAGCACGCAACTTAACTAACTGACTTTTTTTCTAGCACCGGTGTAAACAGTCGATAATCCTATCAATCCCATTTGATATGCAAGGATAGTGAAAATAGCAAAAAAGTTGTCAATTAATCTGATCGAATTTAGAAAATAAATTTATTAAAACCTGATACGGTTTCTTTTTTCTTCAGAACTACAAACTATTATTCAAGCAGACTGTGCAGATCAGAGCAAACAAAAGGAAGCAACCGACTTATTGTTCAAACTTGTAAAGGTGATTCAAGTTGACAACAGTCTCAAAGATGAAGAAATAAGAGTAGTAATAACACAGCGGATCCAGTGGTATGGAGAACTCGTATTGGAGTTGATAGAAGATTTGATCAGCTGGTTCAGTGACATGAATGCCCTTCCTGACGCAATTCCCGGCAATGCGCAGATAGGGAGTATTCGCATACCAATATCCTGTTCCAACATTTCAGGCCTCCTCACGTTTTTGAAATATATGACTGGCAGTCAATGCAAACAACGTTTATCAAGCATTTCTGCTACAATAAGCAAGATATTGCTTTTTCCATGTACGTTAGTATGGAGGATTGAGAATATGAATCTGCAAAAATCCTTATATACACCCCGTACGTATTAAATAGCCAATGGCGTTACTTCTACATTATGGAAAAAAATTACCAATTTAGGGAATAGGCTTAAATAATTTAGCTTTGGATAGCATATAATTAAATACTTTGGTAACTATGTAAATAGTTATCTTTATCAATGCATGTTAGAAAATATTTTATGATAAACAACAATTTCTGTATGAAATCTCTTTTAATGTTTCAGTATGTTCAATCATTGAGTTGACTAAATACGTTTATTTTTTTTTAAAATAGTTAAAACAATGGATGTAAGGAGAATAGTGCTACCGTTTCATATTACTTCAACAGAAGGGTTGACTAGGGTTGTAAGTATGTTTGGGGGAGAGGAAAGGACCAGTCATGTTGAGAAAATATCCGAAACACTGTCGAAGATATTCAATGTAACTATTCGTCTCGAAACATATGTTGATAAAATTCAACTACGAGAAGCAGGTATCACGATGTTATTTCTTTGATTTTAGAGTAGAATGTATATATGTATGTTACTTTGAATATTTTCAATTTTAATGGTTTATAATGGCATCCCGTCCGTTCTTGCACTGTTATGTTTGGTGTCCTGCTGGTCTCTTTGCCAGTTGTCATGTGTTGCATTCATGGAATGCCGTTCTTCATTGTAGATCTTGTTGTTAAGAATTGATTTAAGGGTGTCCGAATTAAAACAAGATATGGTTAAGAAACTGCATGATTTGAAATATCTTGAAAAGAATATAATTATGGTCACTAGCCCTTTTCTAAATCCCACCCACCACCTTTAAAGAATCAAAAGATAAAAAGGAATTGAAGTGAATAATGTTTACCAAACATCGTGCAATCAACTTTGGTATCAGACATCATGCCATCAACTTTTGTATAAACAGATAAATTTGAACCTATTGATTAACAAAATTTTGTATCTTGTCATTCATATCTTAATGTCAAATACTTATTCGAAATACATGTATGTGTACTGACGTTATATAATCATGTGATTTATTTTCTCTTTCGTAAGGAAAAGAAGAAGAAGAGATGGAGAAACAAAGAAAGGGTCACATGGTTAGGTCTTATTCATCCGAAGCTCTCACAGGTATTAATCACTTTGATCAAAAGACGAATGCACATTGGTTTTTTGCGAAGCTCATGATTGATAAATGCTAAGAGCAAATAAATGACTTTGGACGTATTCCAGATATCTAAGGAAGTCAAAACATAGCAGGGTGTTATCTTAAAAAAACTAACTCGATGGAAAGACTCAGTATGTCGATATTTTAACAATACCATCATTGGTTGTTCTAAACAAGATAAGGAAGAAAAATGCAAATATATTGAAAAAGATATTTCATTTATAAAAGTTAATTTTGAACTACAAAAAAGTAAAAAACAGAAAAAAGAATAGTGTTTTCAAAAAGAAAAGTGAATGTACATTTTGTATTGCTAGCTACTTTATAGCATGTTCCAACGACATTGGTATACCAATGTAGTTAAACCGTTTCTAGAGGTTAATGGAAAAAAGATAATTATATTGTAAGAAACTTTATGCCATCGCAAGAGTGATAGAAAAGAAATCATGTCGAAACAGTTTACCTAGTTTGGCATCCATGACTTTATCATGTTGATAAATGAAATATTAACAATTATTGCAAAAACAATATTTTCTCAGAGAAAGCTGTTTCCATGAGTAGGTTAACATCATTGAGGTTACGGTCCATTTGAAGCTCAGTGAATACACTAACATTAAGAATGTGAACGATAGTGAAAGTTTTGACCGATGCGCATGAGAGTACATTGAAGTATTTTTTTCTTTTAATGATCAAATGCTCACGAAAAACAAGTTTCAAAATGAGACAGTTATGATATGATTGAACAAAATGGTTCTATACATGCATATATTAAACCAAAGGAGTTCGCGAATAGAAGACAATAATAATTCTTTGATACCCGGTCAAGTAACCAACCTCCAATGTCGAAACGTTATGAAATATGAATGACATGATTTAATGCTAGTTTTACAGGTCTTAATTGCACAAGTAATTTACTTATGTGTTTATATATTGAAATGAGTTCAATCATTTTTCATATGCATTTTGACCATTTTGACATATACATTTAGATCAATGTTTATGGATTTATATACTTTAGTTTTTTTAATATCCTGGTATTAATCTAGAACTGTTTCTTCAGAAAAAGAAGAGAATGTGGTCACTCCTTCAGCTCAAGTGAAAAAGCCGAAAATTGGACGATCTCGCTCTTTAGGGGCACTCAAAGGTATTCAATATGTTAAGGAAATGACAAAATTAGCTAAGATTTGATAATAAAATACATCGTACATGTTCAAAGTTATGTATTAAAATAGTTTTGAAACAATCGACAAAGCCTTATAAGTGAATGTTTGATTTAGAACATACTATAAATGAATTGAATCTCTTTATCTAAATAAACCAAAGTTCTGTAAGTCCTTTTATTTATTACGTAAACACGTAGAACTATTGATCATGCCTTTCCCTAACCCTGTATGTTAAACATCAATTTTATGACATATGAAAATAAAAGTCTAAAATGGTATTAGTTAAACTCAATGTTGATTTGTTAAATGTTGTTGTCTTATTATTTGAATAAAATCTTGTAACAGAGGGACAAGAAAGATTGATGCGAGTTATGAAGGAAATAATACGATTAAAAAACGTTATCTTAAAGAAAGGAAAATATGGGACAGCAAAAGGTATATAAATAATTTAATCACAGATACGTTTTAAGATAGACTCTTGTCATTACTAATTCTTTTATAACTTAGATGCTAAAGTATTCAAAAGTTCTTCAGTTCATTATATGCCATAGTTAATTATATTTCCCCTATGTTTGAAGAACAATCTCGTTTAAGTTCTTTTGTTTAAATAATACATGTATATTTAAAAGGGTAATGCCACACTTTGATGCTAAAATTATTCTTATATTTTCTACTGATAACTTTTTAAAGTATCCAGTGGCTTTATGTGGATGCATTCACTAACATTTCTTAAGCAAACCTAATGTACGATTGCTTCCTATGATTCAGTAAAAAGCAATTATTTATTTACCTGGTAAAAGGTGATCACAACCAACACGGACAAATTGAAAATGCTGTAATAATTTCAATTTTTATATTTGATTTTAGCGACGGTAGTTGACAAGGAGAGCCTTTTGTTTGTTGAAAAAGGTACGAACCCTGCTATCCAGGAAGATGCACCATTATTGTTTCTGACAAATCATGCTATTCTATTCGAAAATGTTGATGATAGAATTACCGTCGGTGGAATGGATCTTCTGCCGGACGACAATGGACTTGTTGTAATTGACATTAATAAACGACAATTATACAAATTAAGCCATTTGTTCAATGTGATAGGCAAATACGAACTCCCTGGTTATCCGTGTGATGTTTGCTATATTGGTAAAGGAAATGTAGCTGTATGTATTGATTACAAATACCTGACAATTGTAAATGTATCTAAAGGTCAATTTGTTGAAAATCCTATAAAAATTGGTGTTGTCATTGCAGGGATTGCAGCTTATGCTGATATGGTATACATTGCTGATCTCGGTGGCAATGTGCATTCATATAACACAACAAGTCAAATGTTGAAGAAAGTCTACTACAACTCTAAACGTGACTTTAAACCTCAGCGAACAAGTATCGCTCTTAGTAATGATGGTCAGATAATTTATGTAAAATATGGCATAGAATTGTTGTCATTAAATCGTGAGGGTAAATGTATAACAAAAGTCGAGATAGACGTTAACTTTAAGCTAAGTGATATTTGTGTCATTGCTGATGGTATCATTTTGTGTGACTTTTCTATGATGACAGTGTTGCACATTGATCGTGAAGGTAATCAGATGCTTAGAAAAATACCATTTGTTTCGGAAGGAAATAGGATGGCATCTTTAATGTGTTATGATAAAAGACAGTCACGTCTGGTAATTGTAGAAAGGTCTGGCATGGTACATGAATTTAAGATTTCCGCAAAATGAAAAGGATGTATATTCCATTATTTATATGTAGCTGTATTCTTATCTATCGTTAAATAAAATATACGCTTTGTAAAAAATAAAGTTTACTTTGCACGCAGTCCTCATATTTATATTGACAACATTCAGTTAACCACCAAATGAATTTCAACAAACAAAGATATTGAATTTGTTATAAAAATATGCACAAGTATGCTTTCACAGAGAATATGGATGTCTTCAAGATCTGTTTTCTTGTTAAAATAGTCTGCATAATCATATACATATGTATTTGATTATAATGATTTAGTGTACCGTTATATACGTCATTTTTTAAAATTTATGTAACATATAAAAATTATTTTTGTTTAATCTAGGTGTTCAAACCACAATTATTTCTTAAACAACACAGGGTCATTCGAAATAGAACTATTAGTACACATGTTTTAAAGTCGAAAGGGTTATAAACTTTTAATACCTAGGTATTATATGTTATTTGGGTTTTTAGTATATATGGATATATTACCTGCCAATATTTTATATAACCGGAATCGTTATATAATTTCAAAAGCCAAAAAGATTAAAAGATATACTTGGCTCATCTTTAAGTAAAATATTTTCATTGCAGAAATTTATTGAAATCTATGAAATTCTTACAAATTATGTCTAATATGAATAATAGAATGCACAAACTGTTTATTGGAAACTGCATTCCCAATTACTAGTCTAACGAAGTTAGCCATTTTTTATAAAAAAAATGCCACTTTTTTATTACAATATGTACTCATACTGTGTCTACCTGTAGTGTGTTGAGTTCAAAACATTAAACTATACTCTGTGTGTACACAAAACATGTTCATTTGACCTTTGCAAAGGAATTGTGTAGCAATTATCAATATTTTCAAATATCAAATTTGAGCCTAATACACTTTTAATTACTCTTTCCAAGCCGAGAAAGACGATTTTAAAATAAATCATTGCTGTTTCAAATGAAACGTCGAAATAAGATTCCCTTTAGGGTTCCCCGTTACCGCAAACTGACGTCAGCGTAACCTTACGAATGTAAACAAGATAAAAAGGAGAAGTCTGTCGAAGACACTTTTGTAATTAATATTCAAGCTTTGACGAGGTCATATTTATTTTAAATACTAATGAGAATATTTTTTCATTACTATATTTTGGTAAATATTTTTAAATTTGACATTTCGTCAGTACGTGCATCGTCACAAATCATGATGTTTACAACATGGGGTACGCAATGGGGGAATTCAATGTGTATTTTACCTGTAAGGCTGGGTTCGGCGGATCAATATCCAATCAAAAAGGGGGGATTTGGAAAGGTAATAAATATATTTATCATTAATTATTGATAACGCTATATCACAAAAAGGGAAAAACATCTGGAAGAGAAATACATATATATTTATCATTAATTATTGATAACGCTATATCACCATCAATCCGAATGCACGTTCGTTGTATTTTTAAGATATACCTTGAATGTCAGCAGTCGCAGAATAATGAAACAGTAAATGATACATACAAATCGCGAAAGACTAAATTAATCAACTAATGTTAAATAAGTGCGATAACAGGAAAGGATAAGAAGTGTGTATAGCATTTGGTAAAGAACACAAGCATCTATTTAAGAAACACATTGTATTTGGAATATTTATGTATTAACATGACATTCTAGATATAAACAAACTAAAATATGTACATAAGTGTAATGTATTAACTTTAAATCAGATTTATCAGTATCAAAGTCAGTTCGGCTTATTCTCTACTTACACGAGAAACGTCTTGAAAAAGTAAAATATTACTTAGCTATTAATACTAAGACAATAATGTCACTGGATTCTAAGTTGTATAGAATATAAAATCTTACTGTCATATATTTTCGTTTCTTAGGTCATAGTTAATTTTAATACTCTCTGAGTTTATTGCTTTAACCAATAATGTGTTTTCATAATATTACTTTTACCACACAAGTAGACATTAATCATATAGCGTTTACAAATTTATGACTCCTCTAAGAGAAGAAGTCCTTTCCGTATACAACTTTATAAATGTTAAAAAACTAATTCTTGTTATACCATCAATGTCTCCAGGCGAAAATGAGTACTTGCTGACCCATGTATTCTTGCGAAATGTTGACAAGTATATTTCATTTCGAGATCAAAAGTGTAGACCATCCAATATTACTAAAAGATTTATAATAATTGTTTATATTTGTTTTTATTAAAGATTTTGTTATTATGCTTTGATTATAAACAACCAAATGATTGTTTATCAAACAGCATCATATCTTAATGAGAATGGAAATAAAACAAACAGATACCAAGCTTCGGGACGACTAAAACTAACTTGATATCACTCTATGAACGTTAGAATTATTCTTTCCCTTCCTTTTGACCTCTTTATTGTTTTATTAAGTCACAATTTCATTGTTAATGTATACAATTTTCTAACAGTACTAGTAAAGAGAAATCTGATGTATTGACACATGAAAAGGACATATGATATTTAGCATACTAGCTTTACTGTTCACTATCATCATTCAAATAAACCTTCACGCTTAATCCTGTCTGTGTAACATTCTTTTCGAAAAATTGTCGATTTTTACCCTTTGTAAGTTTATATTGCTAAGGATAAGAAATGTTACCGTTGAAAGTTACTGGTCCAAATAGTTCCATAGAGAGGCTTACCTTTCGATCTCTAACAACACCTTTAGAATTTTATCATTGTTCTTCATCGTCTGTCTTTATAAGTTTTGATTGTTTTAATTATTTCAATTTTAAATCTAATTTTTATCTTCAATTCGTGTCGGCTCTTTGTTATTATTTCAATATAACATGTAATATTTGTTTTATAACAGTGATTTCTAGCTTATGTGCTTTTGGTAAAACAGATATACCCTTAAGAATTTGTAGGTTTATAATATATGAAATAAGCCATCTTTTTTTCATTATTTTCCAAATGAAAACATAAGATTGAAAGTACACCTTTTGTGCAATTACTGTTTCGCAATCGGTGCGTACGTCAAGGCTTTGTTCTGCCTCATTAAGTCTTTACATTATGTCGGGCTATCAAAAGTTTGCATTGTCATTTTGACGCAATACTTGATAAGTTGTCGCAGACGATTTAAATGATGTTGAAGTTTATTTGCTACATATGTTGAGCTTAAAAAAGAGGGATATATTAAAAGGTTTTTAAACATTTTGATGGCGAGATAAGTATTGAAAACTTCATCGGATGAATTTTAAACAAAACTGTTTAATGTGATTGAAAAGCGAAATTTTGGCACCAAGGGATTTATATCTTCGTCCTAATGGTAACATACTATTTCACTTAATATATCACGGTATCGAAACAAATATCTTAGTCTCGGGAGTGTTCACTTTTGAAGAACGTTAAATATTACAGTTTGGAACAAAAAAAAACTATTTCTAAAATATGACGTTAGTTTTTTATTGTTTGTTTGCAATTAAACGTCACATGAAATAAGAGTAGTTAAAGTTAAGATACATCAGAATCAAATCTTTTCAAATGGAAAACCTCTAACAGCAAAACAAATAAAGATATAGATTACCACTAAAACATTTAAAAATACGAGAGAGGTCATAGTGTAAAGACGCGCTAAATGTTAGCGTTATATTATAGGCGCGTCAATAAAAAATTGCTATTTTTCACTTTAAACGGTCTTTTGGTAAATGATAAATAGAAAAAAATTCGTTTAAGTTCATTGCCGAATTTATTTAACTCGATGAATAAAATAATATCATGCTCGCCAGAGGCTCGCTTAGTATAACGTTATTGAACTCGTTTAATAAAATCAGTATTGAACTTACTTCTTTTCAGTGTTGTTATACTATTCTGCTCCTTCGGGATCATTGATACCAACACTATTAAGTGTTGAGAATTGAGTACCGCTCAAGCCAGTGGAAGGGGCGTGAGAGATGTTGCATTTATTCATTTTTCCTCATGTACACACTCAATCAAACCGAGTCTGCAATTTCCATGTAATTTTGTTGTGGTGTATGCTTCCGAGGGATCACTTTGTTTCCAGATTTATTTAAATTCATTCAATATTCTCTATTTATTATATCTTTATCTAAAATTTTTGGATTTTTGTTTATAACAAATAACATATATTCGAAATATTACCAATGAAAAATTGCTCTTTTTACTTTAAACGGTCTTTTGGTATATGATAAATAGAAATTAAATTCGTGTAAGTTAATTACTGAATGAATAAAATAATATCATGCTTGCCAGAGGCTCGCATAGTATGACGTTATTCAACTCGTTCAATAAATTCAGTATTGAACTTACTTCACTTCAGTGTTGTTATACTATTCTGGTCCTTTGGGGTCATTGATACCAACACTATTAAGTGTTGAAAACTGAGTACCGCTTAAGCCGGTACTATGGGTCGTGAAGATGTTGCAATGATTATCGACCCTTATGTACGCACTCAATCACACCGAGTCTGCAATTTCCATGTAATTTTGTTTTGGTGTATTCTTCCGAGGGATCACTTTGTTTCCAGATTTATTTACATTCATTCAATATTCTCTATTTATTATATCTTTATCTAAAATGTTTGGATTTTTGTTTTATTACAAATAACATATATTCGAAATATTACCAATAAAAAATTGCTCTTTTTACTTTAAACGGTCTTTTGGTATATGATAAATAGAAAATTAAATTCGTGTAAGTTAATTACTGAATGAATAAAATTAATATCATGCTTGCCAGAGGCTCGCAACGTATAACGTTATTCAACTCGTTCAATAAATTCAGTATTGAACTTACTTCACTTCAGTGTTGTTATACTATTCTGGTCCTTTGGGGTCATTGATACCAACACTATTAAGTGTTGAAAATTGAGTACCGCTCAAGCCGGTGCTAGGGGTCGTGAAGATGTAGCACTGATTCTCATCCCTTATGTACACACTCAATCAAACCGAGTCTGCAATTTTCATGTAATTTTGTTGTGATAAATGCTTCCGAGGAATCGCTTTGTTTCCATATTTTTTACATTCATTCAATATCCTGTATTTAATATATCTTTATCTAAAATGTTTTGGTTTTCGATTATTAAAAACAACATATATTTGAAATATTATCTATTGCATTTAACACAA